GCCACTTATTTTTGTAAAATAGATATGAAAATTCACCCAGTTATTCTAAAAAATTATTTTACCTACTAAAATTTAAATATACAAGCACATACGCACTCTAATCAATTATCTGAACTTTTACATACTTTATGAGTTGATAAAAAAAATGACATCTGTCAGTTAAATCTTACAACAATCCTTTTAACAAATTTTAGTACTTTACCTCAGAATAACTTTACATTTGATATGAAACAGTAATAAAACAGTAAATAGTATTTGAAGCAAGGAAAATATCACTAAAAGTTATTCTTCACTAAATACACAGTTCCCTAAATTATTCATACGACAAAAACACATACAAAAATTTACATACATAAAATATACATAACACTTAAATTCTACCGATCTTCCAGCATTTCCCAAAACCAGAATTTCAATTAACCTGTGTTATGATACCCCAAAACTTTTGTATCCTGATGCAGAATAATTTTAAACTTAAAGAAAAGTAATTTAACCTCAGATTAAATATTCTCCTACAATTTGCTTTACAATCTTGCACCTTTTAGCAGTACCCAAACAAAAAAATAAAATACCCTGCATCCAATCGAACAGAGAACTTAAAAAAAATCAGTACTCATCCCTGTGATGAGCACTTGTTCCCACCGCTGCCACCATTGTAGTTGACTGCTGTAGTTGTGCCGAGGGAGATAAGAATCATTGTATTATATCATAGCGTGGGGTTCATTTGCTTCACACATGTTACAGTCGATCGACGCTTCGACGAAAACCTTTTATGGTTTGTTTAACAATAAACTTTAATAAGTACACAATTCTTGATTATATTACATTATAGGTACAAGCATGAATAGGTAAAATCGGCATTGTCTCAGCCGGGTGAGAAAGAAGAAATTTCAGCCGGATGAGAAAAACAATCTCTGCATAACGAAAGAAAATGGCGACCACCCTTCCACCAAAAAAAAGATCGGACCGTCCCGTCCGACAATACGGGTGCAAAGTTCCCTTTGCCCCCTCGTCTTCTTGTTCCCTTTTTCTCCTTGTTTTTTTTTTTTTTTTATTCCTTCCGTCCAACAAACCACCTGCTCCGTCATGCTAATTATTCAGCTGGATAGGCTTTTCCTTCTCCTTCTCAGGTTATGGGCATTACACTAGCAATATATGATGGATATGACTAGTGTATCACAAGAATATAAAGAAATTTTAGGTCACAAATAGGAGATCATACGAATTTGTCATTAAGTGGAGTAGATAAAGTTTTTACCTTGAAAATACAAAGCACATATACAGAAGAAGACCAAAAATGATTCATATAAGAATAAACATTACAAGCTATTTGTAAAATAAATTAGATACTTATACCGAAAGACTCATCTCCATCATCGCCAGCACCTAGTGATGAAGAGGCCTAGTTTTCGCCTCCAGCAATGAAAAAAATTACATTCAAGTCCTAGTTTAAATCTCTTGATCAGACACTCACATCTACTTGAGACTGAGCTATATTCGACAAGCAAGGACTTCATTTATAGAAACTACAAACAACCTTAGATATGAGGTTTAAAAAATTCCCGTATCTCCAGCTACCATTTACCGAGCTTGAATGATCAAGAAAAACAAAATGAAGAAAATCGGAGAGTGACTCTTTGAAAATCCTCCTCATCTGGTCTTGCACTGGAATAGTATATTGTTGCCCTCAGTTGCCCATGGGAGTGACAAAACATTGGAAGACGTAGTTTCAGTTCTAAGGGACTGGCAAAAATTTTGAGCATTTGCTTGGTGTACCTGTTGCCCTGAAAGGCACTGGTGAGCAGATGGCTGAAGCAGTTCTTAGAAAAGTGGACCGATTTGAGCTTTGCGACAATATCATTGGTAAGTCTTTTGATACTACAGTATCTAATACAGGAATGACCCAAGAGGCATGTATCAGAATTCAATGAGAATTCGGATGAACATTGTTATGGTTGGCTTGCCATCATCACACCCATGAACTAATACTGAAAGGAATATTCTGGCATGCCATCAAATGGTCCTGACATCCAGATTTTTTGGAAGAAGTCTGTGGGCTTCATTTGATAAGAAGTCATATATGACAATGCTGGATGAAGTTCTGTTAAGTCTATCTAAAAGAACAATGAATGAAAATGGTTAATTGTTAACTACATCCAAAATGTCCTAAAAGACAGAAGTCATCCAAGAGAAGACTAAAAAGATTTATTACAACTCTCATTTCTCTACCTAGGAGGCTGGACTCAAAACAACTTCAGTTGCAGGAACCAAGGGGCTCTGCATCAAGCAAGATGGATGGCAAAGGCAATATATGCAGTTAAAACTGTCCTCTTCATTAAACAGTTGAATATTCCTCAATGAAAATGACTTCGGTTTTGGCACGAAGCAATTGTAAGTTGATGGGTTCCGAGGATATGCTATAGTTTCTAAGCACTTACCTACTTGCAAATGGAAAAAAAAAAGGGGGGGTCTCACAGTTGCTAAGAGACACCTTTGGTATCTGTCAGAAAAAAACATAGGATTGGCTTTTTGAACGAATGTATTATTCAAGATAATAAACAAAATATGACTGAAAATTTAGACACCAAACCTGCAAAGAAAAAGTAAATAAATCGATTAGAGATTAAAAAACCTAGTTTTTGAAGAAAAAGATCTCAGCCATTTTATTAATAATACAACAAAGACTTATTCGAGATCTACACTGTGATAGAATACTGCAGATATTCTCTAGGAAGCCATGTGAATGCTCTTAAGGTGATCAATGAAGCCGCAGAAAGAGTTCGAAGTTGATTAACATAATGTGTTCAGAGTTGACTAATAAAACATCAATGAAAGTTGATTAATATTGGGAGCAAAAATAAGCCTCCAATGTTTGAAAAAAAATTGCATTACCAGGAAATTATGGTCAAAATTGTCTGATATAAAACGTTATATCGTAAGGCTGAACATGTGATAACAACATAACATTGAAATATTAGTAATTTTGTCATCCCCATTATATATATATATATTTTTTGTGCAAAAATGTCAAGCTGAACGAGGGCCATTTGCGGGACTTTTGATTTACTTTTTCATTTTGAAGAAATCTGCAGCTGAAGTGCATCAATTGCTTGTAGAAGCATATGGTGAGGCTGCCTTAAGTGACAGAAGTTGTTGCAAATGGTTTCAAAGGTTAAAGAACGGTGAATTGAAAGTCAAAATCAAAGAATGGAGCAGAAGGACGAATGTGTGCGAAGATACAGAACTGGAAGCAGCATTGGATGAAGATTCAATGTCAAATGCAAGTAGAACTTGCACTTACATTAGGAGTGATTCAACAAGCAATTTCACATCATTTCAAACCATTGGGAATGATTCAAAAGCAAGGAAATTGGGTTCCATATGAGCTGAAGGTGAGAAACTTTGAATGCTAAGTTTTTCGCGTGAAATGCTGCTTGCCATAAACAAAAGGGTTTTTTTGCATCATACAGTCATTAGTGATAAAAAAAAAATGGATCCACTACGATATCTTATAAAAGAGGAAATCATGGAGACCACAAGGCCATGCTTCAATATTTACAGTCAAGCCAAATATTCATGGAACAAAAATGATACAGTGTATAAGGTGGGATCAACTAGGTATCACGTATTATGTGTTCCTCAAACTGAACAAAACCATTGCTGTGCTCTCTACCGAACAGAATTGATGAGATTGAGCTCAGCACTCTAAGGAAAATGTGCCCATTACTACTCCACACATGACAAAATTATTCTTCTGCATGATAATGCTCCTCCACAGGTTGCGACACTAGTCAAAACCCACTCAGTAACACTCAAATGAGAAGTTTTTCCCATGACATTGTATTCACCAGACACTGCTCCTGATTATTATTTGTTTTGATTGATGATGCATGGCTTGTCTAAGCAGCACTTTACATCATATGAGGATACCAAAAATTGGGTTGATTTGTGGATAGCTTCAAAAGATGAAGCATTCTACGACACGGGTACCAGAATGCTGCCAGAAAGATGGGCAAAAACAGTGGCTAGCGATGGGCAATATTTTGAATCAAACATAATGTACTTTCCTTCACTGCCTAATATTTGATAAAAAATGGCAGAGACTTATTTGTACTCTCATTATCACACATATTTTGCCTATCATTCTACCTATTAACCTTAATGTCTAGTTTAAATATTATAAAGTTTGTGATTTCCAGTTTTCCCAATAAAGTAATTAACATTGGAAAAACAAAACCAATCAAAGTGTGCAACTTCTAAATATTACCTGATTTACTTGAAATTGGCATGTATATCTTTTACATCACTGAGCCTTGGGAGCATTAAAATTTTCATTTTATTTTTTACCTTACAAAATGAAACATAATAATGTACAACCTAGGTGTTTCAAGTACTAGAAACTGCAAGCTGTATCCATAGTTTTGAACGTTTTGTGGAATAGTTAAAGGTCCCATGAAACTCTTGACAATATTTTTTTTCCCACCGATGGATCAGACACGGAAGACTAATCTCACTGTTACCTGCATTTGCCATATCATACCACATTCCAACAGAAACAAGGGAGAAGGGAGGAAGCGGAGAAAATGCTTGATTTTCTGTCTGGGGGGGGGCAAGAGAATTTTAAGGATATCATATGAAATTTTAAAAGGTGTGCATCATAGGAACATATTTTCCTGAAACAAGCACAAACAAAACAAAATTTTTAATTTACATTAATACTAAATAATCACATTAATTAAAACATGCAGTATCAAAGCTAAATTAATCAAAAAATTTCTCTCTATTAAAAAATTGCTTAAAATATTTAGTTGCAACTCTTACTAAATCTACTTGTGGCTTTTCAGTTTTCTAAGCTCTAAAATGCGATTCCTTATTGACATGAAATTCTGCTATCTCTAGCATATATGTTTAACACTTTTTTAATTCTTTTCATTGCTATTAGACAGGTCAAGTGGATGCAGTTCTTTTACAAGAAGTATACTTTTGGGGGGGGGAGATACCTGGTAAAATCACTTCAGGAAATCCCATCTTTCGAGCAACAGCTGTCGATGGAGTAATCAGATGAGGATATTCTTCTTTCACTTGCCTGATGTCCCCATGCAATAATTTCAAACACACCCACAGACCCTGGCCTTTATGCTCCTTCTGAGTGACTTCTTTGGATGCCAAGACTTTACGCAGTAAATTATCGATGAAATCTCGTTCGTTACATCTGAAAGGTATATTGGAAATGTAATCTACAAAAGATTCAAAACTATTACATTTCGAGCTGAGATAATAAACACACATTTAAAGGGAAAAGTTAAAAAAGTTAATTTAAAGACAAGATGCTAAATAACTAAGTTTTATTTTTACTATACTAAAATTAAATGAAATAATTGGCTTCAGGATAATAAATACTTTATTCCCATGAAACAAGACAATCATGTATCACATTAAATACATACAGGAGAATGAAATAGGAGCCATTTTAATAGGAGAATGAAATTCCCTGACTTTCCCAGGTTTTCCAGGTGTGTTTTACAAAAATTCCAGTCTATTCGCATAATGCACGTTGGCTGTGCTAAGAGGTAAATTAATTATTGTATAACTTGAGAACACACACATTTGCCAAATACATATAACTTATATATATATAATCCTCAAAGTATTACTATTTTAACTATAATAGGAATTGTTTTCTCCACTGAAGATTGAGATTAGAAGCTGCCCAACCTGGATTTAAAAAAGTCTTTTTTGCAGACATTTTGCAGCTTAATGAAAGAAAGAAATATATTTAATAATATTTAAAAATAAATTCAGGTATTTTATATTTATTCAGCAACATACATAAGCAAAAAATATGCGCATTAAACTTCGTGATGGTATGTCATTATACTGCTAGAATTAATTTCAGGATTATGCCAGTGAAAATGTCCTGAAATTTGAAAGCATTATTTACTAATAATAAATAAATTGAGAGGGAAGAAGCAACATTAAATGACACGAATAACATAAAAATAAAGATAATTACTTAAAAATTGAATTAGAATAATCAAGGTATTTTAGCAAATATAGTTATATTTAATGGTTAGCCTAGACGACTGATTACTATTTTTTTATTTTACTGCAAAATGACACATAAGGCATTTATTAAAAAGAAAAGATTTAAAAGATTTTGCGGTAAAATCCTAGTATACACTAAGGCCTTGGCACGATTTTGAAAATTGTCGCCAACACCAAAATGACCTGTTTACTGCTCATCATAATGTCGGCAAATCCCATGTGTACCATACATGGAGGTTATTCTAACCAAAGAACATCTATGTAAAGAAGGAAAGGTTCCACAGATGTAATGCTATTACGCCGCTAGAAAGCAGAGGGAAAATTCGCCAAGGGATTTGGCGATGGAACCTGGCAGCCAGAATTTCCTCTTCGCGATGTGTACAGGAAATTGAGGAATGCATGTTAAAAAGAAACATTCTTTGATAAAACGTTTCTTCTTTGATTTTTTGCAATAATTTAAACACGGATTTTCGTAGTTTTCTTCCCTACAAATAACTTATCCATTAATTAATTTACCGTAATTTCCGGAAGAAAGGCCGCATCAGCGTAAATGCCGCACTCGAGAAAAATGGCGGGGAAAAAATAAAATTACACAGAAACGCCGCAATAGATTAAATCACGCGTGACATCGTCGTGGGCCGTATAGATGCAAAATCTCAACCTAAGTCCTGATATATTACATACCAGTTAAGAAAAATTTATGAAATAAAACCATAACTCAAAAATAAATTAAAGGTAAGAAATGTGGAAAGTATATTTAGCTTCACATATATACTTGTATTTACCCTCTAAAGAAATCCATATTTTTAATACTCAGACTATATTATAAAAAAATGTTGCAACAACAAAATATTAACTTTGGATGAAAAACGGAAATTTTAAATTTTACTTACAAAAGGAATTACAGCAAACTATACATCATATGAAGCCATCAAAATCTTATTCTTCACTATCTGAATTAAAAGGATTTAGTAAATCCTGATCTAAGTCCAAGTCTCCCAGATCGTCACATTCATCCTCTTGGTTTACAGTCTCTTTATCTAAGGATATAATTTCAGCTTCTTTGAACCCTGTTATTATTGACGATGTTTTTACCGATTTCCACACACTTCCTACCCACTTTGCAACTTCTTCATAAGACGCTCTACACATTTTATCGCTTTTGGTATACATATGCAATCCTTCACTCATCCAACACTCCCACCGCTTTCGGATTTCAGCTTTGAAGGATTTATTACCTGATAAATCTAACTGTTGTAAGATTTTTGTCAAACCATCAGGAATTATTGCTTCGGTCGTAGACAATTTCTGACATCTGGTTTTCACTGACTCAAGTAAATGAGCACGCATGGAATCCATTATCAATAACCCTTTTGGTTGGAAAAAAGATCCCATACGACACTGCCAAACTTTTTGTAGCCACTCATGCATGATTGGTTTCGAACATCCAGCCATTCTTCGTTTGCACAAATAATTACGTCATTAGGAAAATCTGCCTTTCGGAATAGTCTTTTCGTTTAAAAATTGATCATCGGCTTTAGCTTGTCACCGTTTGCGGCACATGCCAACACATATGTAAATGACATTATTTCATGCCCCGTCGTAAGCACAGATACAGTTTTTGCACCAGTTTCATCAACAGTTCTGTTTGCAGGAGAGTCGAAATCTAACGGTGGTTCATCCATATTTATTATCTGTGACCGAAGAAGTTTTTTTTGTCAATAATATCTGTCACATATTTTAGAAAAGATGCCTTTTTATCCTGCCAGTCCACTGGTAATTGTTGCCCGACTGTTGTTCTAGTAGGCACAGAAATACTTTTTCTTTTCATAAATCTGCTACGCCTCTTTTGAAATCATTTATATTCATTCGTTTTGCTATAAATTTTGCTTGTTAGCGAATTTTTAGAGTCGAAATTGCCATTCCCTTTCCTCATTGATCCTTTTTCCAGTTTTCAATGTCGTCCTCTAGATTCGGCCACCTTACAGTACCACTTCTTTTGTTTCGTTTCTGTTGTGGCAGATTTTTAAGAAGTTCTTTTTCAGTCCTCCAATGTCGAATACATCTCTCGTCAACTTCAAACTCTCGAGCTGCTGCTCGATTTCCAATTTGCTCAGCACGTGAAATTACATTAAGCTTAAAACCAGCAGTATAGCTTCTGTGCCGTTTAGGTGACATTTTCAAAAATTTTCCACTCCCTTCTTACTTAAAAACTATCCAACAAGTACTTGTACCCAAACTGATGGGATCTGTATCTGGCAGAATGGCAAGAAAAATCGATTCATGCTGAAGGGGAAATATGTCAGAGTTCGTTATTGCGAGGCAGGTGGAGTCGTATCCGCCTTTGAAAAAAATTTCAGAAAAGGCAGGGGTGGGGAGAGGATGGGTACTGGAAGATTCATCGAATGGCAGAGGAGAGAGACTATTCAAACTGATGAGATTGTTGATTTGAAAGGGGGAAGAATGTTATTGTTCTGAGATCACGTTTAGGGTAAATAAGGCATGTAGATCCATTCAAGGGAAAGAATGTAAACAAAATAACGTTCGCAAAAAGCAACTGAGTGGTCTTTTGTGTGGGAACAGCACCAGTCTATGCACAATGACAAGGCCATCCAAACTATGTACAATGACCATCATAGGAAATATTTTATATTTAATGCACCTAAACGCCACATGGGTAGAAATGCCGCACCCACTGAAAATTTAAGTTTTAAACACGTAAACGCCGCGGCGTTTCTTTCGGAAATTACGGTACTTGCGCAAAAAAATATTTTCTTTTGTGTTAAAGTTTAAAGAAATTTTAAACATTATTCATTTTATGAACTCTTGGTAACGTGACCTTTGAACTTCGACACCAGCTTCGAGCTTTGATGACAGATATTTTGCGCATGTGCAGCTGTTTCCTCTCTACGTTGGAATGCAGCCACTCCTGTTGCAGAAAAGTTTTTCTTTTTAACAATAAATATTCTTTGATTCTAACTTCCATGGTCTTGTATACTAGGATTAAACTGATTTTATTTTATACAAGAATAAGTATTTTGTTTAGCTCAATGTGTGCATGCGATTCTCTCGATTCTCGAAGTTTCTGAAAACTAAAGTTGCTGGAAACTTGCTCTGCCTTTCTAAAAGACAATCTAATTGGAGTTGCAAAATTGGCTCTATGCCAACTGCCCGAATGATGCTCACGGGATACGCAATTCAGCAAGAAAGTGATCGCTCTAATGTCTGCGCAAAACTCGCTTTTTTGGGGGGGATCACCATATGAAATTCCCCGACTTTTCCAGATTTTGACTAAAATATTTAAATTCCCCGACTTTTCCCTGAAATTTTTGGTCAATTTTCGAATGTCCCGACTTTTTCCGGTTTCCCAGGTAGCATGGCAACCCTGTACATAATACAGTTTTATTTCAACTTTATTCATTTTATAAATGTTTAATTTATTCATTTTATAAATGACCATAATTTTTTGATGAAAGTCACAGGTGGATTATTTCCTGGGCAAGGCAAGACTTTTATATTATTTTTATTTTATAAAGAAAAATTCAAAATACTTTTTGTTTCATGTCATGGTGCAGTATCATTCATGAAAAGACAATTTTTAAAAAACCTGAACAATCTTGTATTTGAATTAACTTTGTAACTTTAGATAACAGTTATGTTTTTAAACATTGTTATATTGATCCAATCTCAGAGTTTCGACTATAATTATAATCTTTGCAATTTTTGATATTCATAACATTGCAGACCATTACTGACATTCAATATTTTATAACCTGCACAACGTAATCTACTTTTAAAACATCTTTTAGTAACAATGAACATATTGTGGTGTTTCTTTATTAACAGGGAAGGCACTTTCATCACTAAAACATAATAACTTAAGATAATTCATCATATTTTTCTGAATTGTTTTGTCAGTATAATAAGCAGTTACACTAAAAAAGATGATTTGAAATAAAACTAATGGCAATAAAGCGAAACTGAATAATAATCATTCAGACACACATGTCAATGTATACTGCTTACTTTTCGAAATCAGATCTTATCTGTACGTAGAATATTGCCATATAATCCACTCATTGCGCTACCGTGTTTTGTGACAAAGGCACTTCTTTTATAGCTAAGACCATATCATTGCAGTTTTTAAATTCGTGAAATAAAGACTCTGATGTTGCCAAGATAATTTCCTTCACAATGGCGCCATTTGAATATGCCTTTTTGAGAGGCAAAAATGTAACTTAAAGGATGTTTTGTGTGATTTTTTGCTTCATTTCTGAGGGTAAAAAGACTGCTTGGTTTAGCTTTTACAGAAGATTTCACTCATTGACCTTTATGTCTACATAACATGCGAGTAGGATAAAAGCAGCATTCCTGTACATAGCATGTAATATTATCTTTTTCTAGTTGTTTTTTACATTAGAATTAGAGTAAAGCTTTTGTCACAAGGCGATATTGTGACTGGCTGTTGGGAATCAAGAGATAAGACTGGCGCTACCAGGTACCTACAAACTAACGATTACACACCACTGCTTCAAAGCAGTATTAAATAATGTTCTTCACACAGTCTCAGGCAATAATATCAACCCATGGAAGTCATTCATTTTTAAGTCTGTAGAAATAGCTTTTCGGCTTAACAAGCACATTGTCATTTTCAGATTTGGTACAATCCACATTTTTTTAAGAAAGCCTTACAAGTAAGACCTACACACTAGACTATATCACAATTTCTAATGCAATTAACTACTCATCTAGAGTTTTTATTACTCTACAAACCACAGCCTGCAACAATATGCATTATAAATTATTGTTTGTTTAAATGATTGTTTTAAACAACTCATTCAATATTTTTGGTCCTTTCTACATGAGTTATGATTAAAAATTAAATTGACCTGAACTTAGAAAGAAAAACTTACTGAACAAAGGGAATGAAATACTCCTTTTCTTCATCGACCTTTCCATGCATTATATCAGTTATTTCCATTGCTACAAGAAAATTTTAAAACTTAAAATTAAAATTTTAAATAAATAAAGCAAAAGTGCATGGCTGTAAATGATATACCTGCTACACCAAAAGGTCGTCTCAAACCTTCAGATGATTTTCGCTGCATGTGGGAAGATCTTTTGTGCTCCTGATCTTTGAATTCCATAGATCCTGCCAGATAAATTTATTAATTTATAATAATAACAATAATAAATTTAGAAATTTAGCAGTTTATATAAAATTTTAATTTATAGATTTAGCAGATTATTTATTAATGTAAATTTAACAATTTATCCAATAACATAAGGCTAAGTTTTTAATTCATAAGGGTATAACTAAAAACTTACAATTTACATAAAAAGCACAACATTTTGATTCTGTGGCACTAGTGTAAAAAAATAAATAAATAAAACATGTTCTTTTAACAAAGGTAAACATTACCAATTCTTATTATCTGGCATATAAGATACATTTTCTCTCGAAGAAGGTCTTTACTTCCCAAGTCCTAAACATAAATTTAAAATGCTTAAATTAATACATGTAATAATAGTAATAATGATAACAGCAACAACAATAATGAAATTCATCAAGGATTTGGCTAAAAAAAAATAATTGAAGGCTGATTTCTCTCCTTTAATGCCATTCAGTAATAATCTTCTGCGATGCACATTCTTTAATTTATAACTTTGTTATAAACAGTATATCGAAAAAATTTTCCCACAAGTATTTTCTAATTTTTCAAATGCTAATAAACATGGTTGTGTGTGTATGAATTTGTAATCGATTGAATGTACACAGAACTAATGATAACTTGATACAATTTATTTTTATCAAAAGAAACAATTTACAGTTCTGGAACTTTCCACAAAAGCACTCATACAACTCTTCTCATATCACAGAGCACAATCAGTAGTTACACAACACACTACTAATAACGCTAGATACAAAGCAATGCAAAATGCATCTAAAAGGCAAAGCTCCTACGGAGACCTCTCAATATTCCAAACTCATGCTGAACTAAATGGCAACTGGGAAACTCATGCTCTCTCCAGTCTTACATAGTTTTCCTCTCCTAAGAGAGATTTCCAGTATCTTCCACTTCTTGAAATTACTGGAAAGCATATAACTGACAAATGCGATTACAGTTACATATAGGAATCAATTACGATTATTTAATTACTACACCAATTATGACTGAACCAAAATGCCGCCAAATGGTCACCAAATTCGAGGACAGAAATAACTCACCCAAACCACTGCCAATTTAGTGAGATAGCCACATACTTAATGTCAAATAGACTTGCTCCTATGTTCTTATTTCTTATTTTTCTGGCAGAGCTTCTCTTCTTTAGATTTTCATGTTAAATTATTTAAAATTAAAAAAAAAAAAAAAAAATACAATTTCACATATAATTTCACTAAAATATTTACATATATACAAAACTCATAACAATATGTTAATATATTATTTTATGTTATTAATCTATGTCCACCCTTGCATCTTCACAGTGCTGATGAGGATAAGAAGTGCTATATAATTATGCAGAAGAAGCCAAGAATGTATGTCATCTTGATATGGCTATCTGCAAAATTATTGACATAGCTGTGGCCATTGTTCTCTCCAGCATGGTGCAGTGATGTGATGCATGGAATGTAACTGTCAAAGACAAGGATGGGAAAATGAATCCAATAGTGTGATGCTCAAGTCCCTGGACATTATGCACAAACTTCTAGTGAAGTGCCTGATGAAATAAATGAAATGCCTAGTAGATTGTATGTAATGCATCAGTTGTCAAGTTCACTACATTTAATCTCACCTGTTACCATCTTATGCTTTTTCTCACACATCATAGGCTGGCATACCCTACTCATATAATGTATATTAAGTTCAAGAAAAACACTAATTAAAAACCTTCTGTTTCACTTAGAAGTGTTTACCTTTTTGGATACCACATTTCCTACATCAACTCTCAACAGACCCCCCCCCAAAAAAAAAACTCTCCTACAGTTTTATTACTTTATATTCATAATCTAATAACCATACAGCAAAAGTTATCAGGAAAAAAAAAAAAAAAAAATTTTTAATTCATGCAAATAATACTATGAGTTGGCAGTGTGTCAGAAGTGAAGCACACTTCTGTTTTCTAGAACATGAATTTTAAAAGATTCCATAAATTAGATCTCCTTCTTGAAAACATTTATACTGATCGATACTTTTCCCATAATCATAACAAATGCTTCTCACTTAATTTACTCACAACAGAAGCATCAAACTTTTATAGTTAACTATTTACAAAATAAGTATAAACTTCTCCTAAATACATATAATATAGGAACCAAAATATTGGATTTTAGATTTAAAATTTTTACAAAATTGATTTTAAATTTTAAAATGCCAAAATATGAATATTTGCATCATTTAAAACTTTTTGGTAACTGAAAGTGTATGTATTGATTGACCAACGTTGTGAAAATAAAGGTTGTATAAGCACTTTTGTGAACACAGTGTATATAGTTATACATTATGTGTAAAATAAATATATATACTTTACACACAATTACACACTATAATTAACACATAATTGCACAGTGTGATAATTAGTAAATAGCAAAAGCATCACACAGGAAATAAAATAAAATAAATAAATAAATAAATAAATAAAAAAACACTAATAACAGTTATAACGAACTTCGAAAACTTTGTGCACTAAAAATACTACTTTTAAATGATATAATAAAATAAACATTAGGTAAAATTCAATCTTAAGCTGATACTGATTTAAAATAACAATCCACATACATTTCAAAGTACAATGTGGCATCATTTCTTTCTTTGGACATGTACAGTCAAAAGTCGTTAATTCGGACCTCAAAGCTACAAACTTTCTGCGCATGCGTCGCGTTGGCGGATGCGCGTAAGACCTTTAAGGCTGCGAATATGCATGTGCGCATGCGCAAAATATGTTTACGAATGTGCGTTTAATGTATAACGGACGGTATAAGCTAAGCTAAAATTATCTAATTCAGTTAATGTTGCAGATTGTGTTGTTCCTTAATCTTCGAATTGGATTCGGCTTATTATTTTTTGCAGACTGTTAGAGCAATTTTATAAAAGTAAGCTTGAACTTTCGATTATGTCAAATAGAATTTCTGATATATATTTATTAATATGTAAATGATCTACAAAGCGAAAGTATGTTTCGAAGTCCATTAAACAAAAAGTGGAATTGCTGCAAAAAATGGATAAAGGCATATCCTTTGTTTATCTAAACTTTAACGTTTGTTTATCTAAACTTTGTTTATCTTTAACAGGCAATGAATTGGAAGTTGATCTGACAGCACTATTCTTATCTTCAGGGCAGATGTTTTTATTTTATTTGGCTTATAATTCCTTACTAAATGTAGTATTTCATCTCGATGTACTCCGTCTTTGATATGATTTAAATCAAATCATTATAATTCGCTTCCGATAGCAAAGAAAGTGACAGAGGTTATTGTAAACGAAAAAATTTTGATTGACAAATTAGTCGGTATTCTCAACACAGCAATTATAGGACTTGAACAGCGGAAATTTGTACATGAACAAAAAATTATGTCTGTTTACAGAATTAAAGAGAATGTATTATCACATAAAAAACGAAGCAACTTAAACAACTTACATTGAAAGAAATGTTTAATAAAGTAAACAAATAAAAATTAAGCTTTTTTTAAAAAAAAATTTTGATACCCTTTAGATCATAATTGTTCTTTATTTCATAAATTATGGTTTCATATTTTTAATTTTATAATTTCTGCATGCCATCTTACCAGGTTTAAACTGATGATCTATAATCCGGAAAAATCAATAATCCGGTATAACCGAAGTCCTGACGAGTCCGGATTAACGACTTTTGACTATATCAGAATACTTCACAAAATGCATATAAATTCAGTGCCAATTTAATACCAAACTTTGCTCAAGTTTAAAACTGGCATTAACCTCTCAGATTAATTTATATTATACAGCAGAATTCCAATAATATGCATACCTTGGAATGAGAGTTGTGTGGATTGATCAATTTTGTGGATTTGAGGTCATGCTTGAATTTTGTTTCTATTTTCCTCTTAGAAAGTTAATTAATCAATATTATATTATTTAAATTTAATTATATATAAAGAAAATTATGTCAGAATAGTAATGGGAAAAATTTTGAGGGGAGGAAAAACAGCTAAATTTTTTTAGGATGCAAAAGAACTTTTTTATATAAAAAAAAAAAATCAAAGGATTTTATGTAAAAAACTACATTCACCAATGAAATTACTTTCAAAGTAATTACTCTGTTCTTAAATAAGAGGAAAGCTAAATATGTTTGTGGAATCTCCAAGAAGTATACGAAAACAAGTTTCCAAAATTAATTCCTACATTAATTCTGCCATTAGATGTATGTCAAAAACTATAAATGTACAATTGTACTAACACTACAAATAGTGCCATAGCAGAAATTTTAGATTTATTAAAAGAAAATTCCTTTGCCCTTTTAGTCTCTTTGCCATGCTCTCCATTTTTAAAATTAAAACATCTCTATACACATTATTTTCAAGAATTCTATTCACCACCAATGTAAACACTCTTTCTCACTGCTTGGACTGTAAACAAACCAGCAAGAAAGCACATTTATTTAAATTTAAAATTAGCATGTGCACATAGACAAATAAATTCTTAACATATACTTTTAATATTAACTGAACTACATAAATTTAAAATCAATATTCAAATTAATAGGCAGTGGAATATGCACTTGAAAATATGGGGGGAAATCTACTGAGATGCATGGTTTTTATACTGTGTTTATTATAAAAGGAGAGCACTGACGCATGTACAGAAAATATTAAACAATTTATATATAAAATAAATTTGCTTCTTCAATAAAATATGTTTTATTTATATTCCGTATATTCCTTAAAAAGTTTTATTTGCATATACGGTGGTACATCCTTACACTTCATTAATCCATTCCAGATGCTTGGACATATCCAAACTGAATACAGGATATTACTACACAATTTTTTCCAATAAAAAATAAGGAAAAATAATTAATCCATTCTTATAAAAAAATTCTACTTTTATTATTATAACACAGTTTAATACTAAAATACAAATGCAGTAGGTAAAATACATACTGCACAGAAATGAAATACTTTATATATATATACCAGGTTGTTCAATAAGTTCGTGGAACGGAAATGAAGAAACCAATTTTTATTTGTAAAAATGGCTTTATTTTTCAACGTAGTTTCCCTCAACTTCAATACACTTATTCCAACAGTCTTCTAATTTATGGATCCCTTGACTGTAGTTGGTTTTTCAGCAGCTCTGCAAAATATCTCTCCATGGCAGCTATTACCTCTTCGTTTGAAGAAAATTGTTTTCTACAGAGATATTGTTTGAGGTGTGTGAAGAGCCAGAAGTCAGAGGGAGCTAAATCTGGTGAATAGGCTGGATGTTGCAACAATTCATACTTCAATTCAGTTATTTTAGCAATGGTTTTTTGAGCTGTGTGCACAGGTGCGTCATCTTGGTGGAAAATGATTTTCTTCTTCTGTAATCCGGGTCTTCTTTCACGAATTTTTTCGTCTAATTGATTCAAAAGGTTACAATAATAATCTGAATTAATAGTTTTGCCAGTTTGAAAGGTAATCTATAAACAAAATTCCTTTCGCATCCCAAAAAACTGATGCTAACACCTTCTTGGCTGATTTTTGCACACATGAACTCGCTTTCGGCGCCGAAGAGCCGGGTTCACACCACTCCTTAGCCTCCTGTTTTGATTCAGGATCATGATGGTAGACCCAAGTCTCATCCATTGTGATAAATTGACGGATAAAGTCACTTTTATTCTTAAAACGCTCCAAATGTTGCTGGCAAAGTGGCATCCGAATGTGTTTTTGCTCCATCGTTAGAGAATGCGGCACCCATTTTACACAGAGTTTTTTGAAACTCAAATTAACACTCAAAATATTGCTCACTGTGCCCAGTGAAATGCCTAAAGCCTCTGTTAAATCTCTTTCAATCGACGGTCTTCCAATACCATATCTTGTATTTTTCTGATGATTTGCGGTGTTGATGCAGTTTTTGGACGTCCCTCTCGTGGATCGTCTTCGAGGCTGGTACGACCACTTTTGAATAAACTAGCCCACTTGCAAACCATTGTTTTTGAATGAGCAGATTCACCCAACACATTCACCATTTCGGTATGAATTTCCATTGCATTTAAACCTTTCTTTACAAAGAATTTGATAACTGCACGTTGCTGAATTTTATCCATACCTGAAAAAAGGCACAGCGCGTTAGATATAAAGGGCAGTTAAACAATGAATAAATTAACAGATCGAAATGAAACTTTTGACGTGTTCCTAAGAAAGAACAAATATGAAAATGGCGTCGAAGTTTTAGGTCTAATATTCATGAATAGATGGCGCTCTGCAAACTTATTGAACAACCTTGTATATATATATATATTCTATTCAGATCAAGAGCAATTTCTTGACATGCTGCAATGGCTCTGATCTTTGTTTGGTAATTGACTTCACCCTCTTTGCAATGTTAGCAGATATAATAGCAGCTTTGTTTTTCACAGCTACAGATGACATCATTCTTGGCATACAATATGTAGTAGCCAAGTCCGGATATGTAGCTGGATCCGGATCTTGATGCTTTTCAACAAACTCTTTTTTAACCTCCATGGTGTTTCTAAACATGCTCTTCATTGCTAGACTCATTTCATTAGCTTTTCTAAAATTCACTGTTAATGAATTTAAAAAAAAAAAAAAAGTGTGAAAAAAACATTTACGTGAAAATTCAGAGTTATAGCATGTGTTTTTTGCTGTATAGTAACAGCAGGTGTACTGATGTTCATGGGTACTCAAAACATTGGCTTAAAAGGGATAAACAGTCGTGATACACGGAACACTTGAGTTTTGTTAAATAAATATCATACACAAAACAAAATTTTTGGCATCCAAACAGAATATATTTTAAAGTGGACATATACGAAGGTTTACATTTAAGAAAAAAGTTCTGTTAACTATAATACTGAATTTTCAAGAAAATCTAATTTTTTTTTTTTTTTTTTGTTTCACAAAAAAAAAAAAAAAAAAACCTGATGTGTGGCACGACTTCCTTGTACAGAATATTAAATTATACGCATTTTTTCTTGCAATTCATTTAAACTTATTGGATTTAATTAAATAGTGCATAAACCACAATAGAATAAATGCACTCTTTAAAATTCACTATATTTGTTTATTATAGCGACACTCTGGCCCTAGGCTCAATTAACAGCGCTACATTTCAATCATTTTTTTTTTAACTCAGAACGCACAAAATTTATATCATCTTAAGAATTATCTAATTATTGCCACATGTTCTATTCAAATACTATAATAAATTTAAAACGATGTATAAAAGAAATTAAGCAAACAACAACGACAACAACAAAAAAGTTTTTCACAGACGATTCAGTATTTCTCAATCAATTAATTCACTTCTCACTTCGCGACAAGGTAAAAATACATATAAAAACTCAAAATGTCTGTATTGAAAATTATGAAGTAAATCTTAAACACTTATTTCCTTGAATAAATTCCAGAATGAATTAAGCATGATTTAATTCACAATATTAAAAGAAGGAAGGCGTTATCTTTGTTATTGTGAAGCTTACTTTCTCTAGATTGGCAACAAATCTACTATTCTATTGTTTCAAATGTAAACAAGCAATATCCAACATGGCAAAAATTATTAGGCTTAGCGGCACTTAAACAACTTTTAAATTGTTGATTATTCTAAAAATATTGCATACAGATTTACTAAAGGCATAAAAACCTTAACCGGAAGATAAGATCAGCATAATTCAATCATTTTTTAAGCAAAAAATGCACAATTTACAAACATATAAGAATAAAGAAACTGAGATCACTGAGCCGAGTAACAGAGTGGATATATAAATTTAAACAAATTTAAATTTTAACAAACATGTATATATACATATATTTATATATACTTTTGGTGTGGTCGATTGCAACCAAAATACGAGGTGCACATCTACATGTTATAGCAGTCCTATATACAAAATTTTAATGCTCTGAGGCTACTTGTTTTTGAGTTATGCGAGATACATACGTACGTACATAGGCACAGACGCCACGAAAAATTCTCTTCAGAATTCATTTTTAATTAGTTTTACAATTTTTTGGTGGGAAAAGAGTCCTTTATTCTGTCCTTACGAACAGATGTCAAGCAAACACATCGTTAAATTGTATTCGATAGTGGTAAAAATGGATATTTGCGTTGAAATATGCTGCCTGAAACTTTTCGCGATTACAATACTTCCTTTTTACTTCGTAGAAGGAAGTAAAAAAGCATAGGTTACAGACATTTACCAATTAATGGACCACGCATTATTGAAATTCTACAATAAAACTAAAAACACCATCTAAGTTTTCAGCTTAAGTTTGATAGAAGTAAACAAAAAGTAACATACATAAAGTTATCATGCTTACCGTAAATAGAACTCTCAGATTATTAAGCTGATCGAGATCTTTCGCTAAACCTTTTCTACTCCACTTTAACAAATAATTCTCACTGAAAGAGACAAATCAAATTGCTATTAAATCATGCATAAATACACAAACTTAAATGAGAGTTATACAGGATATTCAATTTGAAAAATGTACTCTTCTTAGAAAGAGTAAGTACATATATTTAAGAAATATACCTTTGTTACAACTCGAACTCAAAATGAGCAAAAGTTTCATTTCTGCCAGTGGCTACATCGAGTCAAAAACAAACTTTGAAGTGAGCGGTCAGTTACTCGGCTTCTCTTGATAGAATCCGATTCGAAGGGGGGACAATCCCCATCTTTTGATTTAAAATTAATAAGGGGGGACAATCCCCATCTTTTGATTTAAAATTAATCTTGAATTATGTATATATTGTAAAATAACAAATGTGTGTAAATAAACAGTCATTAGGACTTATTTTGAAGTCATGATTTGAATTTGAATTGAATATCGAAATCGAAAGCTGTACCAAATAGAATCATCGACATTTTAGAACTCGTGGATTAGAAACAACAACAACCTTACTTACCCGCAAACATACTATATGGACAAAGTTTAGGCGTACCTTCATACAAAAGCAGAGGTTGAAGAAAGCAATATTTTTACTTTTCATTCTTTAATAGTAATCTTTGTAAATTTATACAATGCTTGGCATGTTCAGAGAGCTGCTTGATTTCTTAGTAGAACTCATTTTATTCTTTTAGTGTTAAGTCTTTGTTTAAGGTTTTCTGAATCTCTTAAATGTTATTAAAATAATGACCTCTGAAGTGAGACTGCATTTTAGGGTGGAGAAATCAGCCTACAGTTGCCAAATGTGGATACTAAAAGGAGTTGTTAAGAACTGTGACACTTTTCTTTAATAAAAACTGCTTGGAAGTGAATAATATGTACTGCCATGCAGTAAAAATCAATTATTTGATTGAGCTTCTAGCATGCTGAATTCTCACCAGAAGTCTCTCTATTACACTTTTATAAAATGCAGTTTATTGTCTGCCCTTTAACAACAAATTACTTGTAAACAGGGTTCATAGCCACATTTTAGTTAAAAAAATAAGCACCTATAAGCACTTTTCAAGCACATTTTAAGAAAAAAAAAAAAAATAAGCACCTGTCTAATAATATTATACACAGCTGCATAACCTTAAAAAATTAGACTTGTAATTTAAAATATGAGAAATGCAGTATTTATTAAGAGAGAATAAGCATTACCTCAATCATGGAAAATAATTACCTTTTTTTAAATTTTAAATAACAGTTCAATTTACAGAACTAGTTTACAATGAGCGAAAAAAAAAAAAAAAACTATGCAGAACTAAACTATATTACAAGATTTAATGATGAAATTTCAGTTCAAAATAGAGAAAATAAGTAATAATAAGGCACATTTATTGTATTCGCTTGGACCTTAATAATAAATACAATTTATTTTTTCACTCATGTTGATATTTAAATAATTTAAATCTAAATTCTGAACATTTTCTAAATTTCCCTTAACAGATATTGCAAGCAAAGTAATTTAAGTAAAAAAGAGGAACATTTCTGAAATCAGAAGACAGAAATTTGCTTCATGCAGTCATCCTTTAACAGTAAAAGCTTAACTAACCCAAACACTTGGAAACAGGCGAATATTCGGACAGTCGAGCGTAACTTGAAAAAGAGGAGCGAAGGGGGGGGGGGGTAGACTGTAGCCGCTCTTTAGATTTTTTTGCTAAATAAATGCTTTTGACATTTCGATATGTGCATCATATAAAAATAAACCAATGGAACTGAAAAATATTCTGCTTAGCAAGCACAGTAAAACTCTTTTAAGTGTTCATAAACAAATCTCGGACAGAACATCAAAATTAATAATTATCTCTGCAAAATATTCGCAAACGTTATTGCGCAATACGTGTACCGTCATTCTTCCACTACGTGATATTACGCAATTCGGAATCAACTGCTGCCTGGTATTGGGAGAATAAAGGAACTAAATAACATTGGGTGTTTCTAAATTCAAATTTTCAACAGATGGCGTTAAATTTCCGGAATATAATCATTCTTCGCTTGGGTTGGTAGACCGCAGAACTTTTAGTCCTATTCAATCCAGATTGGAAAAAGACAAAAAAAAAAAGGGGGGGCTGTTGCTTGTTTTGCAGTGAACTGTAACAGTTTCAATATTCGAGATTTTGCGTTACTTTCCTTTTATTTAAGCCATTCCGAATATTATTCCTTAGAAAGCTAATCTGTGTTAAAACACAACCATTTTTTTTAAGTTTACTATACTTCAGCAGTTACTGCAACTATGTTATTATAAACATTCATACATATGCTCAAAATATAAGCATAACGATCATAATAAACACGAATATGAACTGACCAAGCGGAACGAGAATGCAAATTATTAAGATCTTGATAGAAATTCAAACGTGTGTAGTATTTGGGTGGGAGGAAAAGAATGCCGAATGTACCAGAATTTTCTACTGCTTTCGCAATTCTTTGACCAATAGAACGACAGGCACCTGTCTGTACTCTTCGTGCACACTAAAGGTTATGTTAATGCAGAGAAAGGGGAAAAAGCTATTTCCGGGAGTATTCCGGGGAGAAAGAAATTTTGATCGGCGCAGTTGGACTACAGCAGGACGAGGGATGATTTTCATCAGCGCAGTTGGAGTACACCCGATTCACCACCTGACATTCCATATTAGGAAGAAAAGTTGTTTATTTAGTTTTGGCTTTGGAACGGGAAAAAATAGAGCGTTCATTAAAAAAAAAAAAAAAAAGCACTAAAAGCAAAAAATAAGCCCTAAAAACAAAAAAATAAGGGCTTTAAAGAAAAAGTAAGCACCTATAAGGGCCTTTATATTTTATTTTCAAATATAAGGACTTTAAGCACTTAAAAGCCCACTATGAACCCTGTGTAAAGTTTTTTTTTTTTTTTTTTTTCTTCCTAATTTAAAAAAAAAAAAGAAAGAAAGAAAGAAAAACACGTTCCTAGTTCCAGAGTTCTTTTCTTGAGCTCTGACAAGATCATAAGCAAAGTACCAAGTTTTATCTGTAGTTAAATTTAAAAAAAAAAAGTCAGGCTTATTTAAATTTTAAAAAAAAGCCTGCCATTTGGATCAAGTCAAGACCTGTATAAATTTGATCTCTGTGTTCTGCAGTAGGTATTTAAAGAATAAATGCAGAACAAATTTTTCTTTTTTCAGAATCTTCCAAGATAATTTTGTCAGCAGTGTCTTTACAGGTGTCAAAAATGGGAAAAAATGAGAATCATATTTATAGTAAAATAAATAGGCAAAGCAATAAGAAAATAAATGTAGTTCCATCAGTTGAGAAAAAGGTAATGAAACATACAAAAAGTTGAGATGTTAGAATTTGTAGTGGAGGGAATTGGATTGGAATTAATGTGCCACGAAATAAATGTGCTAAAATAATGTTGAGTGTTAAAAGCTTCAAAGAAATCAAGTTCACCACTACAGTAACTATGTGGGTAATTCTCACACAAAGAAGAAATCAAAATCGTGGCTAACTTATCACAAGGTTGCCACTCAAACAAAAGAATGAAATTTCATGACCTTTCCAATGTTTTTCAGGTGTGTTTCAAGAAAATTCCAGGCTGTGTAGTATGCGTTGGCTGTGCTGAGGGTAAATTAATTACAGTACCATTAGAAAACACAAAAATTTACCACATATATATATATAATCCCTAAAGCACTATTATAACTATAATAGGACTTGTTTTATCCACTGAGGTTTGATATTAGAATCTGCCCAATCTAAATTAAAAAATGTTCCCCCTTTTTTTTTTGACATTTTGCAGCTAAGCGAAACAAAGAAATCTGTTTAATGATATTTTAAAATAAATATGTTCACCAAATTTCATAATGGTATGACATCATACTGCTAGAATTAATTTCAGCAGTATGCCAGCAAAAATTGGCTGAAATTTGAAAGTATTATTAACTAATAATAAATAAATTAAAAAGGAAGAAGGCACATTAAATGATATGAATACCATTTAAATAAATTACTTAAAGATTAAAAACTGAATTACAATAATCAACCATATTTTGGCGAATATATTTATATCAAATAGTTAGCCTAAATGGCTGATTACTTTTTTTTTTTTTTTCCAGCAAAATGACAAATAAGGCATTAAGAAAGATGAAAAAGTTTAAAAGATTTTGTTTTATATGAAAATAAGGGGAATTTACTTTCATTTAACATGCACTGCACTTGTGAATCTCTGGATTCTCGAGGTTGCTGGAAACTAGAGATGTTATAAACTTGCTTTGCATTTTCTAAAACACAATCTGATTGGCACTATGAAAAGTGGCTCTACGCCAGCTGTCCAAATGATGCTCACATGATGCATAATTCGCCTAGAAAGTGATTGCTTCCAACACTTACGTGAAAACCGCTCTTTTGGGAATTGCCATAAGAAATTCTTCGACTTTCCCAGATTTTGACTAAAATATTTACATCGCCTGACTTTTTTGGTCAATTTTTCAAATTCCCAGACTTTTCCTGGTTTTCCAGGTAGCATGGCAAACCTGTTATCAACTGTGATTAGCTATCGAAGCTTTGTTTATTTCTCCTGGTGAAATGTAGAATATATATTCTTTTATGCAAAATTTTAATACTCTCCTTGTTCAATCGATATAAATTAACAAGATATGCATTAAAATCCCAATAAGTAAAATCAGAGTTAGAATCTTTAACAATTAAACAATGGATTTCACTGGCAGATGGGAAAATTACCTGAAAGTGAAAACTTGTCATGGATCTAAGTAAGTCTATAACTCACAGAAGATGCGAATGTTGACAAGGATTCACAGAAATGGAATGATGACAAGGTTGTGACAAAATGCATTATAATAATTGCGTTAAATGGCCTGTTATCATTTGTTATTGAAAATGTGTTTACTTCTCCTTTTAAAACAAGCCCACCAGCAGCCAAGCGGTAAAGACGCTGAACACTGGTAGTTCGGTCCGAGGTTCGAATCCCGCAAAGGGGCTGGCTACATGGGCATTTTCTTGGTTTTCCCCATGTGTAACGTGTTTATGAGCCAGTTTCCCTTAGAAAGCCCTCCACGAAGGCATCCCTCCCTTCAAGCAGATAGCCTTCGTGTGCTTTGCCATAAATGAATAATCCAATCCAATCCTTTTAGAACAAAGGACTGGCATTCTTTGGGTAATTTTAACTCTCTTTCACTTTGACCAATATTCGTAAAACCTATTTCAAGCACATACATCAATGAGAAATGAAACCATATACTTAAAATTTAAACAAATCTAATATTGCTCGTTTGCCTAATATTAAACACAATAATATATCAAATGAAAATTTAAATAACTAATTCAGGATTAATGCTCAAAATGAAAGTGTATTACCTAATACACCTTCCTTCTTTGCCATCATACAGTGTCATGAGTAAATCTGCATCTTCACCAATCCTGCAGACAAAGTTCTTGACGGTAACAAAGAAACTATGAACATACCTTGAAGATAACTTCTGACTTTTGGCATCATCAAGTGACTAGAGAGCAAAAACATATTTAATCATTGGTCTTAAATTAAAGGTAGGTTAAATTAAGTGTTCAATAACACAATGAAAAAATTAACATGAATCTATAGTCTAGATTATAAGTTATTACAATCCAGTACTACTCGGTATTGTACCTGTTCCAATTATTAACAAAACTTATAAAAGTGAATTATTAACAAAAAGCAAATTATCAACAAAACTTAGGAAAGTAAATACCACTTTAATAATAAAAATTTATAGGATTATACTTGTCTTAAACTTTTAAAATACTGTTTGTAAGTTTCCCATTTAAAGGATTTTTACATTAATGTATTGTTTCATCTATAATCCAATTCATGTTAATGGCAAAACATTTCATTTATGTTCCATAATATAATTTCAGTTTTCTTTCGTTAACGAGTTAAATATATATATATATATTTCAACAAGTTGTCTATGGAATTCATTTTATGAATCCACAAAATAATACTTGTGGTTCACATTCCAGAGCTTGTAGCTAACTACTTGCAGTATCTCTTCCAGCTTTCAGAGCAAATTATTTCCCCCCTTTTTTGTATATATATATATATTCTCCTCCTCATGCCTAACATATTTTACTTACATAATATACTTATATAAATAACAAGCATATTCACTAACAGAATTTTACATCACACGACAAAAGAAAAAAGCAATGGCAAATTTATGAGCTGGCAGAAAAATATTTGTATGGCTACTTTTGAGGCCCACAAATGAAGCTTCTATAAGGAAACAAGTTTTATGAGGGAAAAACTGAAATATATGTGGCCAATATTTACATTCTTACAGCTGCTTAATAAAGCTCAACTATAGTCTTCAAAATTTCTTTGAAAAATGAACTCAGCAACAAAAGTCAGGAGGTAACAGAATGCAAGTTTTCCCAACTTTCCTAAAGCTGTTCAACAAGTTGTCTATGGAAGTCATTTTATGAATCCACAAAATAATACTTGTAGTTCACATTCCAGAGCTTGTAGCTAACTACTTGCAGCTTTCAGAGCAAATTTCTTTTCCAGCTTTCAGAGCAAATTATTCCCCCCCCTTTTTTTTTTTGACAGACTTTCAGATTTCTGCCATCAATGTTGCTACAATGTTCTTCGGAATGGTCACAAGAAATGCTTGCTTTGATACACAGCCAATTCCACTGAAAGCCCACCGCTGCGATAAAACTCTGCCACTCTTTTCACACGTCATAAACAAGCTTTTGTCTATTTTAACAATGCATCCAATACTGCCAGTTTTTTTTTCATCATTCTTCTTTCCCAGCATAAGATAAGAAAAACTGCCAAAATCAACTGCACCAGTCAAGAGTTGTGTTGGATGACGATTCTAATTTTTCTGTGCAGAATTTTACTGACATACATTCCTTTATCCAACAATAAATAAAGCAGAAAGCTGTTATAAATGCGATATGACATCTTCAAATCAGTTTTTGATTTGCTTTCTAATTCTTTCTTAAAGTTTTGGACATTACATTTTCACCCAGTTATTTAAGAAGCACAACTTCAAAGTATATGAAATTTATGCATTCCTTATTGTCGGGAAAAACATGATTATTTCTGAAGAAACCTAATGCTTTATTTCTCACCAGCCAGTTAAATTTCACTATCTTAGTACAATTTCTTACAACCATTAAAAAGAGGAAAAAAATAAAGGGGGGCATTCATGAGTGAAATAACAGTTAAACATACATTGTGTGAATTCACATGTACTCAAGTACGTGTGGTGCAGAATGCATGATTGCTATTATCACATGTATACAGAAAAATCTGATATGGTCAGCATATATCCATATCAATTCCATGATTTAAACAGCAACAAGCTTTAAGTAAAGTAGAACTTCCGATTGATCATTTGTAAACAAAATCTAATTTATTGTTCTAATAAATAAAAAGGTCTGTATTACAAAATTTTGGATTATATTTTATTTGGTATAACTGGCCATGCATGAAAACTATTTTTTTTTTAAATTTGTACCAGCATAATAAAATCTTTAGCCATTGTTTTACTAAAAATTTTATTATGCTGATTTGCTTATTAAGGCTAAGGAAGAAAATCACATGCCTGAACAAGGAAGGTAACAATTCATTTCTGAAATCAGTGCAAAAAGAATTGCCATCATTGTTGGGGAAATACGGTGAAGGCCTTCTAAAGAGCTCCTTGAACTATTCAGGACAAGCCATCTCTTTCCATAGTATTCTCGCTGCAATCTCTCAGCTCCAGAAAAATTATAGTCACAGTTTTCAGAGTGCCAGCAGACACCACTGCTGATGATCTATAAGTAAGTTTACAAAGTTTGGATCTTAACTTTTCTAGTGAGCACCTTCCACCTCACGAGCCACAACCCATGGATACAGACTTGTGTAACTGGATCATCAAATTTACAACAAAATGCTTACAACTTTGTTAAAAGCCATTGTAGAGTGTCTGCTGAATTCAGTCCTGTACCTTCCATCTTTTTTTAGAGCACTCAGGTGCTTCAATTGGTAAAGATTACAACATTTAAGTTACGTTTGCAAAATCGCTGATAGTGTGTACCACTTGTGGTCAAGCCCATATGACTGACAAGCATACAAATACCCCACTCTATAAATTGTAAGGAAAGCAACAGGGGTAAGGGGAAAAAAAAAAAAAAACACTTGAACTGATATATACTGCAAGCATTAGAGTATGTTCATATTACAAAGGCAAACTTCACCAGCTTGAAGCCCCATTCCAACATTACACAACAGAAAACAGCAGCTCAATCTTCTGCAGCTGCCCATGGATAGACTTTTGTTACTGCTTAATCCTCTTTTATTATACAAGGGTATATGCTGTAGATCTACAATACGAAGGTCCCAATGGCTACCTAATAGTAGTAAGTATACATATTCCATCCTCTCGTGAGATCACATCAGCACTCGCAGAACTCGAACCTATATTGATTTTTTTGACAAAAGACAAGATAACTGCAGGGGACTTCGATGCTGCCAGCCCACTTTGGGGAGCCACGGCAGAAAATTGATGAGCAATACCTTTGCTTGACTTTTATTACATTGAAAATTTAGTTATAATTAATTAAAGTAATACCAATTTTCTCAACAAGAGCCCAAAGGTGACCAGACTTAACATTAGCTACCACTTTTTCTTCAGTTCATGACTAGACAGTCAACACCCATTTCTCAGTAATCACCATTTCATCAAGTTTGGAGAATGCATAGATTCACAAGTCATTAAATCTAGGTGGAAGATAAAATTCTTAATCTCTGCCACATTGTTAATACTCTAGCTCCCCATGTGCAAAGCCTGCTAGCATAGTGCAACAACTGCAGTAGTAGTTTAAAGTTAAAAGAGCTCCATGATAGCCTTATAAATACCATGTAATTAGCATGTGACAAAATTTTAAAATGGCACAAACATGTGTATCTGTGTAAAACACCCTGGTATAACAATCAGTTCACAGTGGAACGAGGCAAAGTATGTGCCCTAAGATGCCGAATGCTAAAAATGCTATATTCCTGAGGAAAGGACTGTCCTGACCATTATTTTTAAGAAGCATAGGGCTGACTATAAGAATAACATCAACAAAGCCAAACATGCCTTAGGGCAAAACTTCTGCACCACAACAGTTAAAAAATATAGTGTTGCCCTTTAAAATCACGCATGATTAAGTATTCAGCTCAACTAGCCTTGCTGCTACAATTGAATATGGTGCAGACTCCAGCATAAGTAACTGAACATATCCTAAACAGTATTTTCAAGCAACCCCCCCCCAACACAAATGGAAATCAGACTTAATGTCTCACAAAATTACCTGGTCCAATCTACCATTTCAAAGTCCAATTTAACATTCTGAATCATTCCATCAAACAAGGAGCTCAAGGTCCCAGACAGAAAAGGTATGGATAATGGTATCATCCCGACAACATACTGGCATTCATCCCGTACTTTTGTTCGCCTCTATTATGGCATGCTGGAGGGCGAGACATTTTCCTGTGAATGCAAAGATTGCAAAAATAGTCTTATTTTTAAAAGGACAGAAGGATCCCAATGTCGCATCATCACTCAGGCTAATTTTTTATTACCCACACTTCGCAAAGCACTAGAAAGAATTATACTGCAAAGGCTACAGAACCACATAACAAGACAAAGATTACTGAACAGCTGCTAGTATGGTTTATTATAGGAAAGTCCACTGACTATGCTTTAAATCATTTTAAACACAACTGTTCTCAAGAAGAAAGAAAAAATACATTAACAATAACTTCAGAGGACATTCAGGGTGCCTTTAACTCATTGTGATGATATGATATGCTGAATAAATTGAAGGACATGGAATGCCCAAAAGCACTTTGCAATTTCATTTACAGCTACCTAAGTGCCAATATGTCCAGGCCACAACATAGGAAGGCATTTATAAGTATTAACAAAAGCTGTCGACAGGGATGATATCTTGGACCATTTCTTTGGAACCTCATAGCTGATTCTACTCTCAGGATCTTCAATGACACGACATCAAAATACTTGCTTACACAGATGAGTTCTTGGTGGTAGCCACAGGTCACAGTATACAAGAAACGAAACGCATGTCTCATATGTGCTGGATAAATTCATCAAATGGGCAGGAGATCATAAACTCAGAATTTCAGAGGCTAAAACACAGATACTCAAGATAAACCACAGAAGAAGATATAACCACATTCCAGGAATTAAAATAGGAGGGATTAGCATTAAAAGTATTCAACACCTCAAATACCTAGATTGTAATTATAGATGACAGACTCACCTGAAATCAGCACATTTCCTACATTAAGGGCATAAATTATCAAATTCAATGCTCAGTACAACAGCAGCTAAATAGAGGTATGCTTGCAAATGCTAAACATTTGGCATTCTGTTACTTGCAGAAAGATAGACTTTGCATGGGGCTTCCATATTGAGTTCACATATGAATGTGCATATGATAAATCAACCTAGATTGACACAATGCCATT